TGAACCACAATACTGATAAGTGATTAATAAAAGTCAAAAGATCAAAGAGGTCACCTTAATACCAAAAAAAAAAAAAAAACTACTACAAAAGAGAATACAATTGGCTACATATATAACTTTTCTATATTATTTATTTAAGAAGTCTGCTTAAAGGTTCCCTACCAATTGTCATATCTAATACTTCTGCTTGGATGTTTCACTTTAAACTCTTTGAATCTGTAACCTGTGTTAACTTACTGGATTATACACAGATGCTCAGATTATTATCTTAACCTTAGAACTAATTTATTCTTGAAATAAACACTTCAGAGCCTTCTGTATTCATTTTTATAGCTGATCTAGATATTGCTATAACAGAACCAACACTTGCAGTAGGGGTTGAACCTGTTTAAAAAAACCTTACTCAGATTAACTGTAGTTAAGCAACTTGATTATTCGAGTATATCCGAATTATCTGGATTACCTGAGTATATATATTACAATTATAAATTTTGTATCAAATAATAAAAATTGGCTGATAATTATTTAACTAAATTCAATAAATTTTTGATTCTGTGTTAAGACCTTGAGTGCATACACTTTAATCTAAGCATATATGTAATACATTAAATCTCAAGAAGTACATAATATGCCTAATACTACAAAGGTAAGATTAATGTAGCTATGATAGTATAATTATAGAAGATAACTACTTAAAGAATTAAACAAATATGGAAATGAGAAGATACAGATATTCGTTACAGTATTAATATCATACAAGTATCAATCTCAATGTACAATATCTTGTATATTTTAATGGTGCAAAATTTAGCTTTATACATTTAAAGAAAGTGATAAGTTACACTAAGTCAAATGCTCAAATAGATGTCAATTAATATCAGGTAATTTTTTTTATCAGTTGTTGCATAATTTGAAAAAGCTGTAAGCACATATGTATTAAACAGATTATTTCAGTTTTAATATCAAATTCATTGTTATGATTTAGTAGTTAATAGACTAAATGCTATTATGTATTACATTTGAAAAAAAATTTGGAATTATCAATTAATAACTTTATTTGAACTAAAGGCATAAATTATTCAAGTATTATCTTGCAGTATTTATATATAACTCAAAATTGGAAAAAATCAGTTCATTGTTAGCAGATCTAAATCATATAAATCCATAAGCTTAAATGGTTGCTTGTTTAAGTAAATAGATAAATGCATAAATACTCTTTTAAACAAATTATTGTATTTATTTAAAGGTAGTTAGCTATATTCACATCTGATCTTTTTTCTTAGCAAAGTTTTTAATAACTGCAAAAACTTTAATATTATAATTCATCTACTTTGCGCATATGAAAATCTAGCTATTATTATGAATTGCTAATTTAATTTATTATATAAATATATACTTTTATGTCTAATAAATGTGTACAGTTTACCTTCAAAAAAAGTTAATATTAGTTGATTAATAACTTTTTTTTTTAAATTCAACACCCATTTATAAATTATTTTTCTAGTTTATTAAGTAATGTAAAAATTAGAATCTGTTTGTAAAGCTGTACTTCTACTAATAATACAATATATGCTAGTTATATCTATATATATATTTAATAAATTTGTTCAAAATTTTGTTAGCAATTTTTTTGCTTATCCTATCTCTATGAAATCTGATAATGAAAATAATCTTGATAATGTTATCAATTCCGAGTTTGAAAATAATTTATCAAGTTCATCAAGAAAAAAATTACCTGATTCTTCTGAAAATAAACTACAGTCTAAGAAAGTAAAAACTAGCTTTGATTCTTCTAAAAATAACCAGAAAGATAGTTATGTATAGTTATATTTTTAGCTTAGAAATTAAAAAACAATGTATAAAATTCTTATTCCATCTAAAGAAAAGGAGATAGAGTGTGGAGCTACTTACAAATATGATGATGGAATGAGTAATATGCAATATCATCATCAAGTTAGACATAATATTTATTCTTCAAACTAATTAGATAACTTAAAAAATAAGAATTAGTTAAAAATTACTAATATGCTATTAAATGTACGACCTCACAAAGCACCAAAACAAGCAGAGCTTTGTAATGTTATAGTTGAATAGTTAATTACAGATTCATTTTCTCTAAATACTATTCATAAAAAAGGATATTGTAAAATGATACAAAAATTTGATCCTGCATTCAAAATTTCTAGTAATAAATTAATAAAAATGATAATTGAAAAAGCATATCAAATAGGCATAGAACAATTAAAAAAACTAATTCAAACTACTTGTAAAACTGCAGCACTTACAACAGATTTATAGACTGCTTGAAGTCAAGATAGTTATATAGGTATGATATTGCATTAGTTAACTTCTAATTTTGAAATACATGATATAGTTTTGGCTGTAAAAAAGTTTGAATATTCATATACTAGTAAACGCATTAACTAATATTTGAAATCAAAAATTGAAGAATTTAATCTTAGTAGTAAAATTATCTGTGTAATAACAAATAACGATAGTAATATGAAAAAGGCTATTAGGCTTTGGGATGGAGTAGAGCATTTTGCTTGTTCTGCTTATATTTTACAATTAACAGTTTTTCAAGCACTTAAAAAAATTGACCCATATATAAATCGAATTCAAAAATTAATTAAATTTTTTCATTCTCCAAAATATAATGAATATTTAAACCAAGTTCAAATTGATCTTGCCCATTATAATAAAGAATCATCTACTCTTCTTCATTTTGATGATTCTAATTTATTACCTAAAATTAAAGATCTTGAAAATGATGATGTAATTTTAGATATTCAATCTGAAATAAAAATTTTACATACAATTAATGACACTAGAACTAGGTGGAATTCGAGTTATAAATCTTGGCAATAACTTTTAGAATTACAACCAGCTATTGAATGGCTTAATGCAATCTTATATCTTCAAACTAATATTGGTGCCAGAGAGGATACTAAAATATTAAATGAATATATGCTTCAAGATTATGAATAGGAATTATATGAATGTTTAGTTCAATTATTTCAACCATTTGAAGAATTGACAACATATTTTAGTAGAATATAATATGTTACATTTTCAATTGTAAATTCTAGCATCAAAGCATTAAAATATGAATATGCAAATAGATTACTGTTTAATGAAGAATTAGAATCATTTGAAGAACCTATCTATGATAAGAGTATAACTTCTGATAATGAAAATTCAAGCTTAATTAAGAATAATTTTGATAATTCATTATCAGTTGACTCAATTATTAAAAATATAGAAAATGTAATTTATAATTCATTTTGGTATTATTGATCAAAACAAATTGGTCGATTGGCAACATTATTAGATTCCCATCTTAAAGCTATAGAAGTATGATCACAATCTACACATGATAAAACAATTGAACAACTTTGAAGTGAATTTAAAATTTAGGAAAATACTATTATACCAAATGAATTTAAAGATTCTCAAACTGTCTTTATATAAAATTTTTTAAAAAAGGTTTTTTCTCAAACAGAATCTTCAGTTAATCATAAAGTTAAAATTCAAAGTTATTTAAATCTGATAATTACTCCAATTTTACCATATAATGAAAATGTTTATCTTTGGTAGCAGTCACACAAAAATACTTTTCCTATATTAAGTCAAATAGTAAGAAAATATCTTGCAATCCCAGCAACATCAGTTCCATGTGAAAGGTTATTCTCTGATGCAGGAAATATAATTATTTCCCAAAGAACATCTCTGGCTTCAGATATTATTAATCATCTATTATTTGTTAGAAAAAATAACTTATATTGTAATATTTTTTTATAAACATTAAATACGTATTCTTTTTTTATTATGTGTATCAATAGCTTAGAAAGATTGTTGCTCAATTTTCCAAAAATTATTTCTCTTATAGACTACTTACCCGATATCATATAGGATTAGGATTGGTTGCAAGTATATATCTTTAGTAAGTTGTTACCCTATATGTTGTCGATTAGAGGAAATAACTTTTAGGGAATTGTACTGTAACTCTTTTATTTAGTATAATAATTATAGCATACTATCTTGTTAGCTTTGATAGTAAAAGTGTCCAGTCATACAATATAAAATAAAAGATCTGATTATAAGTATATAGAAATTAGTTAAGCAGTACAATTGACAGGTGTATAAGACTTATAGCAGTCAATCAGTTTAAACTATAAATTTTATATATGTATAAGAAATAAAATTTCTTAAAACTTATATAAATAGTTTAAAAAATTCTAAACTAGGTTAAAGTTACTCAAGTTATTATTAATGATTCTTTTTAATTTTTTTGTTCATTATATTCAAATCGATCTTTATCAGTTTGCGAGCTCATTGAATTCAAATCCAGATATGCTATTATTGGATGCGAAACATTCAGTAACAGATTTATTTTTCTTTTTTTTATAACAAATAAATTACTTGGGTTTAATCGAGTCTATTTGGTGCATAAATAGTACTTATATGACATATATTTATCATTAAAATGATAACAAAATAATGTAAATAATATATTTTATTTCATAAAATTTAAGATGTACTTATACAGTATAATGTTTTTGGTATTAGTATGACTGTGTCATGCAGCTACTCTAATATTGATATACTATATATATATGTATCTAACAAGTATATTTATGCTATATAACCTAGGTAAATCTAATAGATATATCTGTACTATATTACCTGTGTAAATCAAATCTTTACCCAAATATCTGGATAGATCCAGATTAACTGATTAAAGATTATCTGGTTCCAAGCCCTAACTTGTGGTCAGAACTAATCATTAAACCACTATACTCTTGTAGAGTTCACTTAGACCCCAACATTTACTTCATAGCATAATCCTGATACTTTAGTATATCTCTGCTTTTTCACTTGTTTTTTTACCAAACTCCCAATTCAGATAACCTGTATAGAACTATAATCAGTCTATCGGTATATTAGGTTGACCTGATATCCTTTTTTTCTAGTTCATTATGATGACCTGGTTGATAGTATTCTCAAGACTCCTAACCTAAAGGTTTTTTCTATTCAGCTACTATAACTGGGTACTATAACCTTGGTATCTGTTTCTTTGGGCTAGCCTTTATAGTAAGACTATTGAAGATCCAGCTATCTTTCTACTCGGGTCTTTTCAAATGAATTTTTTGTTACCCAATTTCAACAAATTTACACAATTATAAGGACTTATCTAGTGTTTATATTGTCTGATTTATCAGTTTGCATTCTTTTGTATAATACCATACTTACACAGATGCTCTATGACCTGTCAGTTATGCTGGTATGACCACTATTACAGGTATCCTAACCCAATTGTTAGTAACAGTTACTGTAATATGAATATTATATAGGTGATTATTCAAATTTTCACCATCAATGAGATTTGAATACCCAACCTACCACTTGAGAAGTTGACAACCTGACTACTTTACTAGGTCACCACACCCTTTCTGTAATAATTCATTAAATCACATTACCAAAAAAATTATTAATAAAAAATTAAAAAACCAAAGAGGTCATCTTAAAAAAAAAAAAAAGAAATAACTAAAATATACTAATATTATACTTTTTAAATATATATTAAAATCTAATTTTTTTATCAATTTATTGATAATATATTGATTAACAAAATTATACTAAATTTAACATTACAAAGATGTGATGATCTAGTGAAATAATCAGATTGTTAACCCTTCAAATAGTAGATTGGATGTTCAAATCCCATCAATAGTAAAAATTTGGATAATTACCCATGTAATATTTAATGATTGGGTTAAGATACCTGTAATAGTGGTCATATCAGCATGACTGGTAGATCATAAGGTATTCATGTAATAGATCATATGATAAAATGCAAACCAGCAATTAGATAGTGCAAATATTAAATAAGTCCTTATGACTATATAAATCTATTGAAATTAGATAACAAGAAATCTATTTGGGAAAACCCGAGTAGAAAGATAACCAGATCTTTAACAACCCTACTGTAAAGGCTAGCTTGGTGAAACAGATACCAAAGTCGAAGTAACTGAACAGACAAGAACCTCTAGATAGAAGGTACTACCAACCAAGCCATCAGATCGAACCAGAAGAAAAGGATATCGGACTGACCTGATATACCAATGGACCAGTTGTAAATCCTACCAGACTATCTGGATTGGGAATTTGATGAATCAACAAGAGTATACTAAAGTATTTTGGATATACTGTAAAGTAGATGCTAGGGTTTGTGTGAACTCTACAAGAGCATAATGGTTTAATGATCAACCCTGACTGCAAGTGTTGGTTCTGTTATAGTGATATCTAAATCAACTGTAAAAATAGGTACAGAAGGCTCTGGGAGGTTTATCTCAAGGATAAATTAGTCTTAAGGTTGAGATGATGATCTGGATATCTGGGATAACCCAGTAATGTTAACACAATTTACAGGTTCAAAGGGTTTAAAGTAGAACACCCAAGCAGGGGTGTTAGGTATGGCAATTGGTAGAGAACCTTCAGGCAGACTCCTTAAATAGGTAATATAGAAAAGTTACACGTGTAACCAATTGTACGCTCTCATGTAGTGGTTCATTGAACCACAATACCGATAAGTGATTAATAAAAGCCAAAAGACCAAAGAGGTCATCTTAATACCAAAAAAAAAAAAAAACTAAATTTGACATTACAATAAAAAACAATATTCAACTATTACCAAATATTTTTTGTCAAAATTGAAAACAAGTTTTTCGGGTTCCTGCACCCGGGTCACCCGCGGATGGGTGGGTAACCCGGGTTGAGATATTGCCACCCGGATGGTCAACCCGTGAGTCACCGTTAACCAACCTTCGGAACTTGTATACGTCTATTATCGAAGTTTCGGAATGGTAGATATTTAGCGAACGTAAAAGACGTCGTAAATTTCAAGAAATAGTGATTTTTGATTTTTTTTGTTTTCTCCCGGATGACCCGTCGGGTGACCCAGGTGGAGATTTTTTAGACGGGTCAAATCACTACTTTGGATTATATGGAATAACAATAAAATAAAGTTGTTACGCAGAATTTGGGGTCTGTTGCCGCAGAAAGTGATGAGCCCTAGTTCTGTACTTCGCACATGATCACGTGTCGGTGAAATTTTGGTGGCAATCTAGGGGAAGACATTTTGTAGAAAAAATCCAATCAACTTGTTTGTTTTGATCAACACGGATCAGCCCGACGAAGTAAAAAGAAAAACGAAAAAAAACTGAATTTATTTTGTACTAATAAAAAATATCGGGAAGTGATTTTACTTATAAAACATACCTAATCTTAACATAAACTCTAACTTTAATTATAATTATGTAGAATTATACAAGCGCACCCTGCTTTAAGCAACACCTATTATGATATAAAAATAAATGGGCTTAAATCAATCTACACACTTTATATTCAAATATTTCTTAAGTCAATTAATGAGCGAATATATTGATGATTTGAGTGTTAAATTTAAAAGAATTGCACATCTGTTGCCTATCATTGTCGTGTGAATCGGATATTATCGTGATAAAGTGAATCTCGATACAACGACGGTTACATGTGATGTTTGATCCTATTATAAACAATATAATGCGAGATGCATCTTATCGGATTTGATAAAGTCGTGTGTGTGTTACGATGAAAAAAACAATTTAAGCAATTATCGAATACCTTTAATTTCGATCTTAACGAATTCTTGAAATATTTTACTGATCATGTCTAGTTCTAATAAAGCAGATAAACGTAAGTGAAAATAATATCAAATTCATAACTTTCTCAATAATTTATTGTTTCGTAAAATCCTAGTTCATGTTAAAATTGTTTTTTTTGTCCATGTATGCTAGCTCTTCCTTTCTTGTTTCACTTTATTGCTGGCGGTATCGCCGGTGTTAGTGAAATCCTTGTGATGTGAGTACTTTTGAATATTCTTTATAAATTTCTAGAAGATAAATTTATAGCTAATAATGTTTTATGATAGGTATCCGCTTGATGGTAACATAATTACGCTAATGCAATAATTAATTAAATTAATTAATTAATTTTATCCATTTGTTTTTTTGAAGTTGTGAAAACGAGATTTCAATTGCAAGTTAATACGAATACCGGTGGTGAAAAATACACTTCTGTACTAGATTGCCTTCGGAAAATTGTCAAGAACGAAGGGTATGCCAAATATTGAGAATATTATATGCTTGGTGTAAGATGTCATGATTTTTCAAGGCAGAAATCTAAATGACATGGGAGATGGAGTGGTTTTGTCTTATTGTGGTGTGTTAGAAGTTTAAATTTGATAATTTTTAAATTTATTTAGTTTTAGCCGTCTTTATAGAGGTATCCTTCCTCCGATCTTAGTCGAAGCGCCAAAAAGAGCAATTAAATTTTCATCGAATGAACAATATTCTACTATATTAAAAAAAATTTATGGTGTCGATAAGATGTCACAACAGTTATCAATCGCGTCAGGTGTTTGTGCAGGTTCTACAGAAGCTCTTGCTATAGTTCCTTTCGAACTTGTTAAGATTCGTCTTCAAGATAAAGAAAGTGTAAGTAATTTTATTTGTCTAATATATATTTCATGAATCTAGAGCTTGGATCCGATCATCCGTTTTCATATTAAATTTAACGGATATCTGACTATTAAATTTGTATCAACGGATAAAGCTCTACGTGAATCAGATTAAAATTTGCGTCAGATCAAAATTTAAACGCGGAGTTTTATTAGGGTTAGGGTGAGTGCCTATGTTAGGTATTAGCGGAATTATGATTTTAATCTGATACAGGTTTTAATTTAACGCACAATATATACTAAAATTGAGATAATAATAAAATTAAACTTATCGTTTTCTATACTTCAGGCAGGAAAATATAGCGGCACATTAGATGCATTAACAAAAATTATCAAAAACGAAGGTATTGAGAGGATTGAGTGATGTTTTTTAAATATATTATTTTATTGTTTAATGCTAGTTTTCTAAATAAATATTATATAGGCCCCTTCGCGTTGTATAATGGGTTAGAATCTACAATATGGCGCCATGCTACGTGGAATGGTGGATATTTTGGGGTTATTTTCAATGTTAGAAGAATTCTTCCCAAACCGACCGTTAGTATAACAGTTTTTTATTTTTTTAAAAAAAATTTCAATAATATATTTATAAGAAATTATTTATTTATTGGGATAATATTTAGTCAAAACAACAAAATTTAATGAATAACTTTATTGCGGGAGGTATTGGCGGCACCGTAGGTACGATTTTAAATACACCATTTGATGTAGTTAAAACTCGAATCCAAAATGATTCTGGAGCTGTGAGAAAATATAATTGGACACTTCCTGCTCTTAAGACAGTAGCTGTTGAAGAAGGGTAATTATATTGTTTTACATAATACATAAGCTTTATAAAATGCAGCTTTTTCTAATACTATTTCTTTAATAAAATTTTAGAATTGGTGCCCTTTATAAAGGTTTTGTTCCTAAAGTTCTTAGACTTGGGCCTGGTGGTGGTATTCTCTTGGTTGTGTTTGATCAAGTGAGCACTTGGATGAGAAAGTATTTAATATAGATAGATATCTTTACTGTTACTAATTATTTCCCTAAAGTAATTTGTTATTTTATAATAAAGTTTTTTCTTTTAATAAAGCCTCTAACTACATAACTAATAGTTAACAAAATAGGTGTAATTTTTAGTATGTTACTAAGAGTTAACAAAATAGATGCAATTTTTTTAGTATGTTACTAATAGTTAACAAAATTATGTACTAACTTGCTATTTTGGTCAAAGCTTTGTTATAACTTTTTATCTTTTTTGATCATCAGTCATGCAAGCATCATAAAAAAAAAAACTTGAAAAGTCTAACATTTTATTGTATTGTACCATGCATTATTTTAAATGAAGAACCTATTTTAATATAAAAGTTTAAGGGTCCATTTTTTTAAAGGTCGAGTAATACGTATAAGCGGATTTTAATAAGGTTTATAGATTTAGAATCAGCGGCTATATATAATATATAGTATATGTAATAAATTTTTACGTACTGAATGTGTTAAGCCAAGTTATCAATACGTAATAAATTTTCATTTGCTTATAGCAGGGTTGACAATTGGAAACCGTGTCTAAAACCTTGTTTAAACCTAAATTTAATTAGTTTTAGATATATGAGTGCTATCAAAAGAAAACTTACAAATATTATCTAATAAGTTTTATAGGTTTTCTTCTTTTTTTAAAAAAAAACTTTGGTAGTCTCGTTATTCACCTTTATTAAGAATTTAATATACATATTTGTATATATTTATTTAGCTTAAGTTTTGGTTCAACATCTTTTAGCTGTTTCAAGAGTACCTAGAGGCAGTGTTGTCACGTGAACACTTTTGGACACTTTTGGACATTTTTTTAAATTAAAATTACTCAAAATTTTATTAAGATAATATATTTTAATTTTTTTATAAATGAATCCAGCACCTAAAAAAATATATAATTATATATATTTTTAATATACTTTATTGATTATTTAAACTTTGGACATAGACTTGGACAATTTTGGACAATCTTGGACATTGGACATTTTACATAGTATGGACACATTCAATGTACAACACTGCCTAGAGGTAGTCTGTTGCACTGGTTGAGATATTATCTGAATCTGATAAATGTTGTCATACTATGGATAATATAGACTATAAAATTCTCTATTAATAAGGTAAATAAAAGTTTTTCGCATAACATCAGATGGGTTAGTACTTAAAAGAAACATTGGATTTGGCAAGTATTATGGGTAAGTATTATTTTATTAGTTATATTGTAAGACCTGTTTTTCTTACATTATAAATGCATTACTTATATACTTTTTTTCTATATACTAATTACACTAATTACACTATATACACTAATTGTACTAATTATACTATATAAAACTAATTTTTTTATTTATACTTTATATATTAAATATATTATATTTGCTGCATCTACTAATTATACCAATTATATTACATTTACTAATTATACTAATTATACTACATCTACGAATTACATACTATATATGTGCTATATCTAATAATTACTATATGGGAGTGAGTCAATAGAAACGCACCAAATCTTTTTTATTGAAATATTTTTGCAACTTTAAACAAAGATAACTTAACAAGAAATTATTCAAATTTAATAAAAAATTTTTTAAATAAATTCTATAAGGATTTAGAATTAATTTAAAAAAATTTTATTAAATATGATTAAGTTCTTGCTAAGTTATTTAAGCTTAAAGTTTCAAAAAAATTTATTTAAAAAAAATTTGATGCATTTCTATTGACTCACACTCATATATTATTATTTTATTATGTGATCTAATTTAAATGAAATATTAATAATCCTATTTTAGATTATGACAATATATCAAATTAACTTATAAGATTATAAAAAATAGGTTTATATAATTATTAATAAATTTTTTATTAATTTTAGTCATATTTTCTATATTTTAAAACTATTCTTTTCTTTTTTTTCATATTTTCAATTATAGTTAAGATTTTTTTATTTACATTTAAAATAGTCTTGATTTTTAATGTTTATTAGTTTTTTTTTTTCTTTAAGTTATTTTTATTTTTTATATAATAATTGTTTTATATTATTTACTTATATATTTTTATTATATTTTTATAAAAATTAATTTTAATTGTATTTATTTTTATATACATGAAGTTTTTTATTTTTAAAAAAGTTTGTATCAGATTTTAAACTGTTTAATAGATTTTTCTTGAATTAATTTCTTAATAATGTTATATCTATTTTTTTTCTTTTTTAGTTATTTTTTAGAAGATTTTTTTAAGTTTTTCTTGTTTATAATCTTTTGGATTTTTTATAAATGAGACTTATATAAAGTTTATTGAAATATTTTTTATATTTAATCACTTTTTTTATAATTATTATATGTTATTAAATGTTCTTAATTTTTTTTTTTTTTATTATAAAGAATACAATATAGATTTTTATATAAGTTTAATTATTACTTTATAAGTATCTTGAATAATAAGAGTGTTTTATTTAGACATTTGATTAATATTCTAATTTTTTTATTTTTTCTCATATTTATATATTTTATTTTACTTGATTTTTGATTTTTTTTATAATAATGTTTTATTATTATTTTTTATTTTTTTATTTAGCTTTAGTTTTTATATAATTGTTATAAGTCTTTATTTAGTATTTATTTTTAAGTTAGCATAACTTTTATAAATTATTTATTAGGTTTTTAATTATAATTTTTTTTTAGTATAATAAAATATTTAAATATTATAAACTTTTATTTATTATTTTATTAAAATTATTTATATTATTATTTTTTTACTAAACTATTTGCTATACTATTCTATTTATTATTATTATAATTTTTTAATTTTATTTATAAGTTTTTTTTTAATAATATTCATTTATTTAATTTATTTAATAATTTTAATTTTATATATAATTTTATTTGTACAAATCACAATAAAGATTAATAAGATAAAATATATTGATTTTTAAAAATATATAATTATTATTTTATATTAACTAATAAGATTATAAATAAGTTAAAAAAAATTAATTAATAAGATTATAAATAAATTAAAAAAAAATTAATTAATAATTTGTATATAAAACAAAAAAAATAGTTATATTATATTTATTATATAATTTGTTTTTAATAAATTTATTTATTTAACAAAATAAAACAGATTTTTTTTTTTTTTTTTATTTATAACATCAAGTAGGAAAAATTGATAATACATGAACATGTCAATCGGATATAAATGTATAATTAAATATTATTCTTAGACTATACTATTGTTGTTATATATATAACAACATCTAGCATAATATTATTCTCTTATTTTCTGTTTTAAGTTAGATCAACTATAGTTAATTACTAACTACAGAGAGGGATAAAAGAGAAACTCTAAAGAAAAGTTTAATTTGTGAAAA